AGTTTATTTTAATAAATATCGTATTTTAGGAATGTTTTCCGGATTTGTGTTACTTAATTACTGTCTATAAAAAAATGTAGTTCGTTTAAATTCTATAAATAATTTATTAAGCATTAGAACACAAAAGTTATATAGGTATTCGAATGGTATTATAATAATGTGATAAAACTGCGATCGAATTAATTCGTCGCTGAAATAATTTGCATATATTATAAATTCTTTCTATATTTATAAAATTTACTAATAATTCTTGCAGGCAACATTTTATAATTTAAATAAAAATAAAACATGCCTTCTGATCGTTTGAGTGTTGATTTGAGACCTTGAGGTGTTTTGTTTATTTTAACTCGTTTTTAAAAGTATTTTGTATATATTAAGAATATAGCTTGTTTCTATGGTTCACCAATTAATATTTAAGTTTGAGGTCGACTTTTTATAACAATGGCAGCTGTTTGCTACAGACATGTGGTTCACCTAATATTGGACAGTTACGTAGTTAAGTAATTAGTTAGTTAAGTAAGGCCTATTGGCGATTACATCATCACTTACACGTACGCTTTGTCGTCCCTAAAGGTCTCTATTTAAAGAATTATATAGTAAGTTCCTAGACCTTAATAAAAGGAAACTGCTCTAAAACTGTGCTATATTAATATATAAACTAAATAAATTTGTTAAAATATAATCTAAACCTATCTGTACGGTCCTCTATAGATTTATAAATGAAATTAAAAGTTTTACTAACAACAATACAGTAACACTGTATAATTTTAAGTAAAACTTTTATATACATGCCGATATTAAATGTAATTTATTTAATTTATGAATATTATTAATTTTATCGAAAAATAATAATATCTTTTAATACGTTATAGATACATTTTGTTAATATTGTTACAAATATAATAAAGAAGATGAGTTCCCCTGTTTAAATGCACTAATGCTTGCAATTATAAGTCGAATATAAAAAAAAAATTTTTGAACACGTTCGGCTATTCATGACACGATCATTAGCAATGTCACGGATTACAGTTAGTATGATATAAATCTTCTACGATATGAATATTTCGCAGTTGGGAAAGTTAGAGAACGGTGGTTGACCTCTGTTTTATCTCTTATCATTCACTTGTCTAGCTGATCCTATCTAAATAAAAAAAAAAGTAGATCACATTCGAAGGCCTTGAAACGTTCTTGCAAGTCATATGAAGGCACTTCAATGCACTCTACACTTGTTATAAGTACTCATTTACGTTACAAAACAGTACGTGATACCTCTTACCAGAAATATAACGGTATCACTAACTTTTGGCACGTCTTGTTAAGTTTGTCCTTCCCTTCACACGGCCATCTGTTAACACATACGAAATCTATTGTTCAGTACGATTCGGTAACAACTAACATTTTATTTTTTTATGCAACTTAAAATGGCAAACAAGCTGACGACCCTACTGATGAAAAGTGGTAATCGTCGCCTATAGACATGAGCAGTACCATGGACATACTATACTGTTTCGCCCATGATATCCCCCATACCATTGCCATTCCTGAGCACTCAGGTGTTATTCCTCTGTACCCTGTAAATTCACTGCCATATCCCACTCTTCAAAACAAAACACAGCCATGCAAACACAACTATTTCACGGTAAAAACACGAATAGGACTGAGGTGCCCAAGCAAACGATTTAATGTGTGATGATTTAATGTAAATTAAATCATCACAAATTAAAAACAATATTGTTATATATGTGTATGGCTATATATATATATATATATATATTCTTCATCATCATATCAGCCGTTACTATCTACTGCTTAACATTTCTTTTAAAACAACCTCTAAAAATATTAGTAATGTTTTATGAGGAGCTTTGCTCCCCATACTTCGACTATTAACCATACGTACAAAGTAAAAAGCAAAAAAGTAGTTTTGAATATAATAGCTATATTGTTATGAAAGAAAAACTTGAAAAAACCTGAAAAAATGAAAAAAAAATGTTAGGTAAATAATTTTGTTAAATGTTATTTACGATTAATAAACATCTGTAATTATTATTAAATACTATATTTATATTTAATAATAATTGTTATTATTAGAATCTATAATTAACGCAATATTTACAATGTATCTACGAAACATGTCGGTTATCGGTGCGTTCACGAATGAAACCTCTTTTTAGGTCAATACACGAATATACTTAACAGTGTAACTTTTCAACTAGCAGGCAACCTCTGCCCTTCTAACTTTCAACAATTAATATACAATTTTGATTAATTAATTATATACATAGTGTGGCAACGTATTGCAAAACTTATAGGTAATATTCACGTATATAGATCACGTTGCATCACAGTGGAAAACAACAATTATTGGTCGCCTCTCACTTCTAATGTTAACTATTTATTGTTTTTATAATAATACAATAATAGCATTGAATTATTTAATATCAATTCTATTTTTTTTCTCACTGTAAATGGAACGTGAATAGAGTTTTTTCAGCCATATAATGAATACCAATTTCCTACGATTTCAATAATAATAAACTTAGAACCCCATTGCCAGTTATAAGTGGTTACAAATTTTTTTTAAACAAAAACGATTACGTTTTTATATTTTTTTTATATATAAATACCTATTGTTACTAAATATCACTGTGTTTGTCCTTAAATAAATCCTAATAATGTAAATGTGAAAGTAAGTTTGTTATCTCTTAGCGCCTTATGAAATTTGCCACAAAGGAGATAGGCTATTTTTTGTCCAGTCACGTGAACGAAACCACAAGCAAAGTTAATAAATAAATATCTCTCACTTATATCAGTACGTTTATGTATTAGGTGCTCAGTATTATATATGTATATAACCAGATTTTTTATTTTAACCTAACCTCCAATTACAATAAATTAGTTTTATCACATTCTAAGCTCAGTAAGTACTGGGCTGCCTACATTCAGTATTTTGAATAGACTAAGAGATCAGATGCCGCCATTATATTCTATGTCATGGTCTCGCTTTGTCTAAAGGGCCAGGTTATATATACGAACAAATATATAAATATCTATATACATATAATATTATTTAAAAATTACACGCAAATTTATTATTGTATATTCCGACATTAAAGTTAATATTGTACAGTTTATTTAAGCTCTTCTGAAAGTTTAAAATAAATATTTAATAAATAATCAATTATAAGATATATAAATAATTCAATTTTTATTTTAGTAATATAATAAATAAATCGATTAATTAATTAACACTGCATACATTTATGAGTATGCATTACGTTTAGCTTCAACTAAGACCTAAAATAATAGCCGTGAGTATGAAAGTGATACTAAATAAGTACAAGTCGACGTGCCCTATGTTACCACGTATGCTGTTGCCTAACCACATACGTGACTAGCCAACATAACTAACTCATTACGGTACACAATTGTCACAAACAGATAAACAGGCTGGAAACAATGTCACAAAAAACCGGACTTCTAATTTTATGAAGATTTTTCACAATTGGCCTCCACATTTATTATTATTACTAATTTTACCAAACGACCTTGTCCGAGTAACCGAAATATATTGACTGTCAGGGAAAATAATTAGCTTGTATTCTTTTCTATCCCAAATAAACGCATATACCAATTTTCATAACAATTGGACGAGCCGTAGAAATAAACTAATTTTTTTCAAACTCACTGGTACCCCGCCGGTATATACCGATAGCGTGGGTGGGTTTACTATTTCATTACCACATATATATATATATATATATATATATATATATATATATATATATATATATATATATAAGGATGATAGATGAGGATAAAACAGGTCAGTTAGCCCATCGTGACGAATTCAACGAGAATTGCTCACGATGGTTTCCAGGGGGAACCACGTGGAGGTTGACTTGATAACAGCCATAACTCCATTGCTAACAATCCCTTTCCCCCGATCTATACATTTTAATTACAATATCTATATACTGGTCTAATAACGAATAAACTAAAAGTACGTTATCCAAATTATTTGTCGCCTCTTATGACACCAATGGGAAAGGAAGAAGTAGCCAGCACCCCGCTAATACAAATGTAATTTTTTTTTATTATACCAATAGAAAACGAAATCAAGTAATTTCATACTATAGCTTAAAGTATTCCCGTAACAACTCTAGAATCAATTTTATACTATTTTGCATTAATAAACTTCATTTATTAAATTAAGCATGTAAGCCAAAAATCGAGTAATGCGCACACATACGCTAATAAAACGTCATCATCCGTTCTTAGGCAATTGGTTAAACATAATTACTATTTTTTTTTTCTATTTAATACGTTTACGTAAATTCTGTACGATATCTGTTGCATACACACACACACAAATACAATACATGCATAGTACGTTACCGAACTAATTTGCTTCATCATTATATCCAATTTTGGGAGAGTTCCTCTATTCAGAAGCCTATTAGTATCATATAAAATAAGCAAAGTCGCAGTATATTATACTGTAAAAGTACAATAATACTATTATACTACATTGTACTATTCATGTCTATAGGCGACGGTTTTCACTTTCTATCAGGTGGGCCGTCAGCTTTGCTATTCCCAGTTGCATAAAAGAAGTATTTTTTTTTATTTAAGAATTTACGATTCTGTACTTTTTAATTTTACTACCATATTTCACTTTAAAGTCGAAACAAAACTATCTAAGTTAAACTCTTTATAATCAAAAACACGAGGGAATTAAAGTACCCAAGGCAAATTTGCCTAATTATTAATACCTAATTTCTTTTTTCTTACAACTTGTAGTTAAAATTGAATATTTCAAGGTTTATTTTAGACTGAGTCATTATAATATAATTGTATCTACTACCAGTATTTTTTTTTGTGTTGAAATATATAAAAACGCTAATAATATATTTACCAGTCGCTTTTACTAAACTCAAGGCTTCTTAGAGGAATAAACCCTAATGGAGTTAACGACTAATTGCAAAACTCTTTCGCAGGTCACAGAGGAACACGTGAATCAGAGACTTCAAAACGGTACCAAACAATTGAAACGTCAGAATGAAGACGTCAATGTACTTAGTCGCGGTTTGCGCAGCACTAGTCGCAGTGTACGCTGCGCCTGCGCCGAATCCTGAGCCTAATCCAGACCCTGCGCCACAACCCAACCCAGCCCCATCTCCAGCTGATGACAGGCCGGAGATCATCGAAATCATAGCGCCAGCTGCAAGTGCACAGGTACTCTATGTTTAATATTTTTTGGCTGACTTCAAAATAAACGACGTCCTCAATTCGGTTGTAATTTTTTTAAAATTTGTTACCTTATAACTCTATCGGTGGTGACCGATTTGGAAAATTCTTTTTTTTTTTTATCGAATCAGATCAGTAGTTTAGTTTTTAAATTAAAATTACTGATTTTGCTACAATTGAAGTCAATTTTGGAAGACAATTTAATTATTTTGTGGTATACTACCCGAACTGTAGTGGTTAGTTCGAATTTAACTAAAAATATTGTCTGTCAATTTAAATGGTCGTATATCTCGCTGGTGATGAAAAAAATCAATAGCATATCAAATTAATTCGTGAGATGGCGATACGCTCGCCCTGTGGCACGTTGAATTTTAATATTTGCAGCAAAATTTGGGCATACCGAGTGTTGTTACGTCCACCACAACGAGAACACTTTACTATTTCAATAGAAATTATAGTCATGAGCTACTTGTATATATTTGTTTTATTCTTAATTTACATTCAATATATTAAGATTAAAAATTTTTTTATTGAAAAGTGCATTTGTTATCACTTGACATTTTAATGGCTCTAACTATCAAGATTTGTACGTATATATTTGGCTTATAAGTAAAATTTGAGATAGAAAAGGAAAAAACCTACTTCAGCCAGATTACTCGAAATCGCATACTCTGTTAGTATTTTATAAATCAATTAACTGATCCCTGCAAGTCTACTCTTGAATCTAATATCGGTATCAATCTAATTTATTGCCAATGACAATTTTGTATTGCACTTATGAAACAACAGTTAAATATTAACAATTAAGTTTATAATTGGAATTCGTTTACAATAATTTGCATCAGCAAGTTACACCAATATGCATTTATCAGAACAATATAGAACCAATATGTCGCTAGTATTACAATTCTCAGTGCGAAGTCTCAATTTCAATATCGATCTATTGGAATTTATTTAAAAAAATAACTCCACTGATCCTGTAGAGTTTTTTTGCTCGGAATGCAATTTACTATGTTCATCGGGATAGAAATTCTCCTTACAATTTGAAGTCACCAATCATTCTATTCTTAAAAATTGTATGCTGTAATTTAAGACTTTCTTGCACATTTACAAAATTTCATTAAAACCGCTTGGGGGATTTCAAAAATACTACGAAAACTCGGTACTGCCGAGATCACGTGTCACGTGATTTTTATATATTAAAATAAAAGGGTCTACTTGGTTACATTAAATCGTTTCACACGAAGAAAACATTAAAGAACCTACCGCCTTACGAATCGCGAGGCATCATAGCGAACGAAGGCTACATAAAACGGCCTTATTATTCAGCCAGGCGTACGCGCAACAAACGCGGCAAATAACTCTGTAGGTGTCTAACTAAATATAATTACTTATTTAACTGCACCAAGAGTATTGTGTGTGAAATATAATTATCTATACATATAATTAAATAATTTGCAAACCGCAAATTAAATAACTTACAATTAAGTACTGTATTTTGTTACGCGATACGGTCGTCAGAATTACGTACCGATTTTAAATGTTTTTTTTTGTTTAGTTAAATATATGTGCTTATATCTTTCTAGTCGTGCACTAATTTAATTAAGAATAAACTCGGTATTTTTATGAAATAAAATTACATTAAAATTTTTTATACTTTTTTTAAAACGGCGAATTTGAAAAAAGCAACTGCCATATTTAACCTTTCTAAATATGGAGTTGTATATTTAAAAATATTTTAAAATAAAAACTATACGTATATTTTCTTATGAAATATCTATTATTGACAAAATTTATTTTATTATTAAAAAAATACAACCGTATTGAGAATCTCCTTCTTTTTGAAGTCGGTTGGAAATCTATTAAGATAAGTAACAATGTGTAAGAAAATCACCTTTACATTATAAATAAATATTGAAAATTGAACCGATTCAGAAATCTACAAATTACGACTTCTGATATTTTGCTTATGTACTACAAAAATCAAAATGTTCATAGCATTTAATAAAATGACAATCATGTTCCGATTATTGTAAATTAACGTGTTAATTAACGTATTATTATATATATTATAATTATACGTTAAAAGCATTAATGTTGTCTTCATGTAGAACTGTTCACAGCGGATCTTAAGAAAATCAATATATTTTCTATATTGTCACCTAATAAAAATATATAAATTACATTCTACTCGATTCCATTTAATAGACGTCTCATATACCTTCATAGACATAAATCCTTCAACGTCAATAACCCACTGTCTATTAGATTCTATGAAATGCAAGTATCTATAGATTGCGTGTACAAATAGTGATAATTAATCAAATTTTAATCAATGCTAATTACGCATTGTAACGTATAATTTTCATAGCAATGATACCCCTCTCTTTAGATTAAAATACAATTCTTATCATCGCTACATAGTATAAAACAAAGTCGCTGTCACTGTCTGTCCGTCCCTATGTATGTGTTGCGGCCTCTTTGACTGATTTTCTCGCTGGCCGCTAAGACATTCTACAATTAAAACTGACAGGTTGGGACAAAACAAAAGAACTTAGACAAAAGACCGAGAAGAAGACGGACATAATTTTGATGACAAATTTGCCTTTTAATTTTAATACATTTTGACGACAAATTCGGACCCTTCGACCTAAAAAGCGGTCCACCGACCTTTCAGTATGCTTAAATCTTTAAAACTACGCATCGGATTTTGAAGCAGTTTTTTTTTTAATAGATAGAGTGATTCAAGAGGTAGGTTTATATGTATAATACATGCATAATATTGTAGAGAAACACTGATAAATTTAGAGGTTTCTAATGTGATGTCGTAAATAAATACATTTTTTGCGCTTACATTGCAAACGCTGGCTGAACCCCACGAGATAAATTAAAATAATGTGTAGTACAGTATTGTACACCTTAAAAAGGTTAACAAAAAAGTTTGCTATGCTATATGTCTATCTCTTAAGGATAACCCACAATAACCATTGTTTATCCATTACATTTTACGGAAAAAAATTGCTTATTTACGAAGTGATTTTATGCAATACAGCATTATTTTTTATCCAATTAAGTACCTTAAGTACATTGTCCATTTACAGCATGTAACTTAAATTAATATTTCCGAGGATATTACATTATCATTACTATTTAGTATCAGCATTGCGCCCGTGCGAAGCCGGGGCAGGTCGCTAGTACATTGTAATCCTTAGTGATAAATACACCCAATCAGGTCGATTCCCCCTGGAAACCATCGTGGTTAATTCTAGTGGAATTCGTCACGATAGGCTAACTGACCTGCTTTCATTGTCACCTATCGTCTCTCACTGGTGCCCCGCCAGCGTATACCGATAGCATGGACTGGGTTGCTATTCCATTATCACCCTTAAAACAAATACCTTAGTTATATTTTTTATTATTATTTCAGCCATTAACTGTCCAGTGCTGAACATAAGCCTTCCCCCTTTAGGGAAATTTTTCCAGTAGTTGCCACGCTTGGCAAGCGGGTTGGTAAGCGCAATTAGGCTTTTACAGATGTTTTAAAAGGGACGCTGATATTAGTGATATTGCAAACGTGTAAATCATTTTGTTTACCATTTGTTATGAAAATAAAAATACTTTTGTCCTGGTAAAGTTAATGATGTCAAGAGAAAATATTATAAAAAGAATAATATAATGTTGGCCATTCTAAGTTGCATAAAAAAACCTAAAATCGAACTCGCAACCATTGGAAAATAAGGCAAGAAGTAAACAGCTGACCCATCTTTACCATATTGTCCCACGTCGTTTCCAGAAAACTGTTAGTTTTATAGATACTATTGCATTTTAACATTGCTTTAAATACACAAGAGTTCATGACCTCTTTGTAGTCACTTTGCTATAACAATGACCGGAATTTGCATAGCTCGTGTAAACGTTGCGAAAAACGAAGAAAAATTTAAAGAAACATTTTTTCTTCTAAAATCGTTCAAGCGCATAGAAAATGCAATTTATTTACATTGGTATTAAGGTCGCAACTTGCGTTGTGTGTATATTTTACATGTAATTTTCAACTTAATTTCATTTCTACAAACTTTTTCACATATAGTAAAGGGGTAGTTCTTTAACATCTATTCCAACTGATGTAAAGGTAAATTTGACTCTCTTTTCCGCGCTTAGTCTCTTATTTGGACCGTTGTACGTATGAACTGATATGATATGATAGTAAAAAGAATACGAATATCTTTATTTCCTTAAACAAAATTAGTTTAATAGTATATACAGATAAATATATACTGGTAAAATAGTCGTTTAAATTTCGCCTCCTGTTATCAAAAGTTTTTAAACGGCTTTACGTGTCCTTCGAAGCATAAAGCAAGTGGCAATCATTTTTAAATGACTCAAACATAAATTTGTGAACTCAGAAGTTCAGGCTGGACTTCAATTTGGAGAGCCTCGAACGGTAGTCAAGCATTATTTGACACAGCTGTACTAGTATATCACATATTAACTGTTTCCTGCGGCTTCGCTCGTGGTCATATCTTGATATTACCTGTGACCTTCCTCAAGAAATGAGCTATCAAATACAAAAAGAACTTTTCAAATCCGTCTAGGTACCTAGTTTCAGAGATTAGCGCATTCAAACAAACAAGCTCGTAAGTTTTATCTTAGTACAAATAAGTAATTGCTAATCATTGTAATTATTAAATTTCAGGAAACGCTGGCAACACTGAACTTAGGTGCTCCTGGTTCTGACTTGAGCGAACGAAACAAACGCACGATTGGTATCCTCAGGCAGCTCTTCCCCACTCTTACACAGGTATAACAATTAATCTTTAGTTAAACAGCCTACAAACAAAATTTATAGTTCTTCTGAATGTTATTTAAAACGTTCTCTTTGTTGTAATAATCTACAACAAATATTTAATTTATTTTTAAATATTTGTTAAATAATTTACCTGAAATATTAATAAAAATCATTATTGTCATTTTAACATAAAACCTTATAAAACAGAGTTGATTGCGATAATATTCTTTCGCAGGCTATGGAGTAGCCTAACAATTTCAGAGCGCATCCTGATAATGGCCGGTATCCTAAGGACGGTGTATGTTCTAGATAATCGAACAAAAAGTACAGCAGATCACAAGTATGGTGCTGCAGACCTTCGGTCCTGTAGTTCTAAGGGCGTTCCTTGGCGGAAACCGGAATGGGGGCGGCAACAAGGGAGGTGGAGGTGGCTCCGTCGAGCTCGATGATGACGATGATGACGACGAAGACGACGTGACGCCTGTGTCTTCTACGACAGAAGCAACCTCAACTACAGCCGCCGACGCTGCGAAGCTGAGAAGAAAACGGGCGCTCTTCTTCCTGCCGGTATGAGGGTCGCAATATCGCGCATTAACACCAGCCTGCCTGGGGACGGCAGAGCGGGCGCGCGCAGACCGCACGCCTTCATCGCCATCGTCATCGTCACATCATCGTTTCGCCGTCACTGACAATTCCATTATAAAATGTTGCCACAACCGAAATATTGATTATTTACTTGTCTTGCAGAACGCGATTGCCGAAGAGAACCAGTTGTTGTCTGGAGCTGAGTCACAACAAGCTGAAGTTCGGGTAGCGTTCGGTGAAGGCCAAGAAGGACAAGACCAGCAGGTAGCTGCCAGTGAGGATCAACAGACCGCTGCTCAAACCAATTCCGCTAGTATCGATGAGATCACACTCGACGATGCTGACAGCAGTGAAGAAAATAGAAACAAAAGGTGAGCAAATACATATTTTCTCTGGGTTCTCATTCATTAAAAGATATTACAGTTCTTTATTGACATTAGTCATTACAATAATTTTTGATATAAAAAAATTGTGTAAATTATTAAATTGAAAAACTAAATAGATTGATGAACTTATGAAATTGTTTCGTATTCGTAAAGAATTTCGTAAAGGTTCAATTTTCTAAATAACTACATTATTTTAAATTTTTTTTAAATCGAGTCAGATCATTTTTTCTTACTTATAAAACAAAATTGTAACTATATAATAATGAAATAAATTAAAAAAAAAACACTGCACTAAATTGAATGCTATTTTGTGAATTATTTTGTGATTATGAATACACAGTTGTATCTATAAAGATCGTACTTAAAATCTAGTGCATGTTTTATCCTAAAATCCATGCGAACAAAGTCCTAAGTAAAAGCTAGTGCAACCATAATTAGAAATAAATACATGTGTATTTACAGAATTTGTAAAATTGACCCTTTATCTTAATGATAGAAGACGTTCACGGTGTGTAAATAGCAACGACATTGATCAACAATAGACTTAAAGTACATATTGTTTTTGCTTGACTTTTCAATTCGCACGTTTCGATTTCTTGGGCCTGTGCTGTATCAAGTCGTAAATGTATTCACATTACATGATCATGTAATCATTGCGTGTTGTTACCACCAGTTTAAATGTTTGTTTGTACAAGAAAATTGAATAATTCTATCCATTTCACCTGTATATTACTGTTTCTAGAGTATTCTACGAGTTTTTAATAGGTAAATGTTTTAAATTGCAGATTCTTATCTGGAGGTGGACAAACCCCTTCCGCAGGCGGATCTGGCAACTTCTTGTTCGATATCGTTAGGGTAAGATTCTTAAGATAATCGTCATAGCATCCCATCAATTCTTTATGATTTTATATGTATCCTTATTCTATTATCTTAACACTATTATTCTGAATATTATAAATATTTAATATATCAAACTTCTAAAACTTCTAACTTCAGTTATGATATTACGTTGACCTACTCTTTTAACTCTTTATAACATTTCATAATAATACTGCGGTGCTAGATAGTACACAAATACAATATCTGCATAAGACAGTTGCAAATTTATTCCCATTAGTTGTACACCTAACCTAACATAGGAGAATGAAAGACAAGATTGTGTTGAGCACTAGTGCGAGTGAGAAGGATTGATGTTGCAGCGTCCAGCAGAGGCGATGGCTCGCGCAGCCGGCACAGCGTTTCGACTGTTCGCAGGAACAGATTCTCTAAACGTCGGTCTCACAGCCTCGCACACAGCAACACTGGACCCCAATAACCCACAAGTACAACATACTACACGAGCACATTTAAACGCAAACAGACACACATACGAGTAGCAAGTAGATATTAGAAGCAGCGCAGTCTCTACTTAGTGTGAAAAGGGTGCGGTTTATCGGAACAGCATGTCTTGGGAGCGCCGCAGAGTTCGTAAATGCGGAATTTTACTAAAAATCCAGAGTACAAAACAAATCCTAGAACATAGAAATAGGCTTATAAAAACAAAGTCATAATAAAATGTTCTAGTAGCGTTTATATTCTTAACTTATTTAGCATTGATTAAAAATTGGAAGATCAGAGCGACACTGCTTTTAAAGTATTGTTAGAGAATAATTTTGTACGTTATTCTTTTAATTTTATTATTTAGTCTAAACATACTTGGTTCTGTGTTCTAACTCTTGCTCTGTGCTCTGTGTTAAAATAATGACTCTACTTTTGTAACATATAAGACCTTCATTAACAATAAATCAATGAGATAAATTAAAGAAAGGATATTTATGTATCTACTGGAAATTCCGAGAAAGGATGGAAGCTTTAAGGGTAATCCTTGCAGTTCAACGCTACATTGATTAGAGACGCCGCTGGTTGGAACTATAACATTTATAGTATGCACAGTTGAATGGTCGAATAGACATATCGATGAAACAGTATTATTACCAATTTGCCTGCCTTTCTTTCCTATCCTTTCTTTCTGATCTATCCTCTAATTTCTCTCGTTGTATAATAGTAGTTATTGTATCATAGTGCACGTACTTAGCAGCTTCTTCGTTTAATAAATGTGGTAAAAAATCTGTAGATTTTTCTAATGGTTTAATAATAGTGTAATATAATGTATATATAATTATTTTTAGTCCTTTAGATATTTTAAATAAAAACCTTGTGTCCATGCAAATTAAAAATCCTTTATAATTTCTTATTTTTTTCCATAATAACTGCTGTATATAGCTTTTTAAAATTGACACTACCATCCACTTTAATTAATGGACACAAAGGCACCAAAGATTCTATAATAATACTAATAAAACAATATAAATTTCAGTTGGTATCCGGTACTTTTGCGTCGTCCTCTGCTGATCCTGGCGCTCCCGCTGATGGAGACGACGCATCCGCTGGTAAAGGCGACAACCTTACTGAGGGAGTTCCCGGACCTATCACGAGGTTATTCATCATTGCCAATAGAGGCATCGCCAACCTGATCCAAGACCTCATTCTCCGTATCGCTCAAACTTCCGAGAGGATAGTCAACTTCAAGGCGCGACTGATCACATCCATCATTTAATGCGGGAGCGTGTAGACAATTAGTTTAGATCGTAGGGTAGACATGGGCCTGGATGCGAGTGGACGCGTCTCCCAACCGCGTTGAGGAAACAAAGGCGATAAGTAACCACAGGTGTTAGTTTTAGTGATCTCTCAGATTCGTCAGAGGGAGCCACACAAGTGATCTGTGATATTGTTATTTGCATCTTTGGTCCTACCACTTATTTAAAATTGAATTAATTTTTTATACTTTTCTCTATCTCTATGTACTAATCATTCAGATATTTTTATACATGACTAGTTATTATTAAACCTGTCGGTTTCTTCTGTTGACGGCATAATTCAGCTTCGGAGCGAGATCCTAATAAAGCGCTTGTCAATTAGGTATACAATTAAATAGTTAACTTTGCGCTTTTCACTCGCTCTCGAAAAGATTGACCTTATGGGCGTAATTAGGAAGATAATATCTTTTTGAAAAACTATTAATATATTAACTTAATGTTTAGAGGCAGAATTTATGGGAATCCTATTTACCTAGTGTTGTAGTTGTTAATTTAATTCTTAACATGTAAGTATGGGTTTTTGCGGTTGCGCCTTGCGAGTTTGTCAAGCCGTTCTTATTAAAGTCTTAGAATAAAAACTTAAAGATGGAGGAAACACTAAGGTGCAGATTCAGAGCCTTTAAATAAAGTATCTGTCTTTGCGAGACCGTGATACTGTTTGTTTGAAGAATTTATAGGAAAGAGGTAGATGTAGCGTATGTACCTATTATATAAAGGGTTGTTAGGTCCCCTAATTACGTCTATAAGTGTCCGGTATGGCGGATGGGAGCGCGTCCACTCAGCGGGCCGTGTAGCGTCCGCCGACGGCTCGCAGCGGACTCGACCGTAAAACAGGCATGCTGGACTAGGGTTTCTGATCTTGGACAAAAATGCCAATCTGTTGAATCGATTCTCAGTTCGATCTTTAACAAAATTAACATTCGAAAAATTAATTTTGCAACAACTGATCAATATTGTAAGCACTCTAAGAAAAAAAGTAAACTACACAGAGAAATAATATTTTTTTAAAGGAAAAATTACACAGAAATGTTCTAATAAAAAAAAATACTACAGAAAAAATAACATTTTCATTCAATAAGATTTCTCATTAAAACAATCGATACAAAAATTTTAAGATTGATGGATCTTCGATCAATTCGAATTGAGATCAGAAACCCTATGGCAGCAGCAACGGACATTTCCACATAAGCGGGCGCGCCGGCGCTTGGCGGTGGCGTGGCGCGGCCCGCGGACCGCCCGACGCCGCCGCCATTCTGCTCAAGCTTTTTTATAACATTCTCGATTCGTTTTTATGTTTGTAAATATGTATTATAGCGGAATTTTGTATAAAATAAAACCAATTAGTTAAATTATACATGATTTTTTATTTTGCTTTCCTTTGATCTTTTCTGGACATTAGCTTTTTCCATAAGACGAGAATATAAACCACAAAGCAAGTAATCACTACATTATAATATATCCTATTATTATAATGATGGCCAAGCGGCTTTGTACAGGTTCATTTTTTATTTTGAGTTTTTCTGCTCTTGTACTGATGTTAAGAAATCAAGACAAAGTGTTTTTTCCTTTATTACATTATGAGAGTGTCAAGAAATGGTAACACGCACATATTATATTATAATGTAATGGCTACATAGAATCAACATAGTATTTTTGCATATCGCTGTCTTTCTCTTCAAGATCATAGAAGTTATATCATGTTGCTGTGTGGTTCCGACATAGAATGTACCACACCTTTCTTTCTCGTTGGTGTCGTAGGAGGCGGCTATGAGAACTTAATAGTTCAGGGATGAACAGTGGCATCCTTCTTAAGACTACCAAATCGTAACTGCGATTGTACACTCGCCTGCCAGGCGTGGCAACTACTGGCAAAATTACTCACTCACACTCAGTAGGCGCAGATCCATGTTCAGCAGCGGACATATAACGGCTGATACGATATGATAATATTATGTTGACATAGGTCCATAGTTTTATATGACTTAAAATGACAATCTCCTCTGACATCGAAACTCAAATAATGAGTGCGCCATTGCTTTACCCAAAAATAATAATAAAATACAAAAAAATAAGATCTCTTGAAAAGATCCTAATAGCTAAATTCTGCCATACAGTTTTAAAAGCAGCATGTTATCAGTGTGTAAATTTAAATAAATCTCAGTCTTTGCTATACCATTTTATTAACTCTGTATTATAAGTAATTACTGAAGAATGAGTCCATAAACTTTACTATGCACCCAATATAACAGCGACGGCGGTTCGAAGCAGATATGGTTCTCGTCAAACGAGATGATGGAACACAGCTAGAGAGAATAGTTGTCTGGACTACGCGATACCCAGAAATGAGCAGCACAGTTGTTGTTCGAGACAATTGCTTTACGGGACGAGTATACTGCATTTTCATATCTCACGCTGGTAAACAATAATTACTGAAATAGCAAATAAAATATTTGTCACCGGAGTTGGTACCGTTTTGCACAACTTGGGTCCCAATGTATAATAGCTAATTTCTTCTATGACTTGTAATAGTAAATAAGCTGAAAGAGCCTTTCTAAAAGTAACAATTGTCACTTACAGGTATGCAGAACATCTTTTAATTTTAATTGTTCATAAAAATTTGCGTGCCTATTATTGAGGCAAATGTTCTATTTGGAAAGGCCTACCATCTGTTTAATATGGTTATAATAAATTATAATATTTTTACAAATAAATAATTAATTGATGAACCTCAGACTTTTAATATACTTACACTGTAAAGTTACATCCTTATACGATGTAAACCTGGGAATCTGATAGATGAGAGAGATCAAAGATATGATAGGTAGGCATTTATAACAAGATACAAATGAGTAGTTAATATTATAGAAAATAAAAATACTTACTGGTTTTTAGTGGGTAGATGGATACTTACGTAAGTTTTTTGATACTGTATTAGATATTCATTATAAAAAAATAAAAAAACAGTATATAAAAATACCTAAAAATAAATAGATAGATAATAGGAATTCGTCCTGCTAAAAATGACAAACAATATTTTTTTTAACTCATTTTTCACTCAGTAGAGTTTATAATAAAGATATAAAATAAATTTTAATACTACGACTATAGTAATTACTAAGGTATTTACATTAGAATTAAATTTTTTTAATAGATGAAAATGAAATATTAACCTAAACCTCACTGGTCTATTAGTGAGATACCAAAAAGCGATAATAGATAGGGTTAAAGTTAAAATAATTAGCTTATAATGACCATATCATTAGAAAAAAAACAATGGTTTCCAGAGAAGTCGCAAGGTGGACTACCTGTCAGATAATTAAGTATATTGAACTTTATTTGTTGAATTAATATCTATGGCGGCACTATAGTAATTCAATTTGTAACCACAATTTAAGGACCATAATATTGCACCATGATCTTGGGTTACTTTTAGCTTGTTCTTTAGTATAATAGAATCAGCAGTGGCATAGATAAGGATAGTCATCATCATTGCTTTGAATTTTATCATTTATTTGATTTCATCTGTATTATTTTTTAGAAGCATAAATTGGCGACTCTGCTTTAAACTGTCAATGACAGAAAGTCATTCAATTATTTATGAACGTCTGCTGTCATTCATCGTTTTGACAATGACTCAGATGTCAAGTCAACAATTTTGTATTTTTATTTTATTCTAATTCTTGCATAGCATTAAACGTTTAATTTATATAAATGATTAAAAATCGTAACTAGATTTATATACTTATAAACAACCTGCACAAATATGGCTCTTTACGAGGGTATAGCCCTCATTCAAGAGAAACAAGCCGTAGTGTTGGATCTAGGCACCGATTATACCAAGTAATTCCTTTTTCTATTTATAATTGTAGAAATCTTTCGTCTATTTGCAATTTTCAATAAAATCGTATTGTATTTAAGATTTGGTTTTACTGGTGAAGCAGCGCCGAGATGTATCATTCGCTCCGAATTTTGGTGCACAACAGAGCGACGTTTCAAACGAGTATACGACTATAAAACAGAAGAAGAACTGTATGAAAACCTTGTGCACATGCTTCATCGGTTATACTTCAGGTAACAACAGCTGTTTTCCTTAAAATTATATTTATAACTGCATACATTTGGTGGTCATTTAAAAATGATCTTTTCTTAATTAAGTGTGTCCTTATTTAGCAAACACTATGATCATGAATATAGATTAATAAAAAATACTGTTTAAACACTTCTAATTAAGTTTACTTAAATTTTTTTCATTATTCATTTACAAACATTAATGTTACAGACTATTTAAATATATTTCTTTCATACAGGATACACTGTTTAGCTCAGAAACATTTATAGGTACCAAAGTTATCTGTATTTATGTGATTAAACCACTCATATTGTTTCTACTAAAAAGTTGTATTTAAAAGGTTGTATTTCAGTTTAATAATAGATTTAGTAGTACTGTAGGCTTCAGACTTCAGGAAAAGGGCCTGGATGGGCTGAGTCCATTCCAGAATTGTCTAGTGCCTACCCTAGAATTATCTGGTGCTCACACCAGGATGTGATTTAGGCATGCTAAAAAACATGTTTGAGAGTACATATATTAACTTTTTTAAGAGGCCAAATCTATCCTGGAAAATAATCTTAAATATGTCAATGCTCAGGATAGATAACATATGAGGTACTATAGTGTTATCAGTCTGTGACATCCTTGATACTGTTCAGATCTATAAGTGGCATTAACGTCTTTCCATTAAGCAATTTGTCAATATATTTATTATTATTAGTTATATAAGAATATTTAAAATTATGATTTTGCTATAAATATTATATAAATGCATATATGTTATTTCAGACATGTCCTCGTGAATCCAAAGGAGCGTAAGGTGGTGGTTGTTGAATCACTTCTTACACCAACCCTTTTCAGAGAGACATTGGCGAAAGTGCTCTTTACCCATTATGAGGTGAATCGATTTTGTTTGTGTTATAGCTTAAGTTTTATGCATGGTATTATTATTAACCCTCGCTGTATGTTCCCCGGCATAGGATGGACGACGCCTTCCTTTCTTGTAGGTGTTGTAAGAGGTAACTAAGCGAGGGCAAGGGATGGACAGCAGTATCCTTTTCAGTATGGGATCTTCTCAGCGAACAATAACATTATGAAAATTCAAAGCTATAGAATAATAAAAGAAATGTAACTTAAAACAGTCTGTTTAAATAATAATAACAAAGCTTAATAAGCAAATAAAATAAAAATTAATTAATAAAATTTTGTGTTGTAGGTTTCAGGTGTAGTGTGGGCAGACAGTCCGAGGCTGTGTGCTCTTACACTCGGAACACCAGTTGCTCTGATAGTCTCCATTGGTGCCAGGGACGCTGAAGTTGCTGCAGGTATAGATTTATTTATGTTATTCTGGAAAACTTATTTTATTACTACAAAAAAGTTAAACTTGCAATAGATATGATACTTTTTAGTGGTTACATGTTTAAAAGATAACCTAGCCTATAACAAGATTGATAATCACTTACATGCATAAATCATCTGCATAAAATAAAATATATATATATATTTATTTCATGATCAACCACAATCATTTAAGACAGAAATATTACTTAAATAATTATATAAAAGTACTGATTGGAGGCAATTTTTATATGTAATTTTTTATAATAATAATAATTTTTATTTTCAACTTTTTTTTTTGGTTATTAATATTTATTAGTAACAATGTTCTTAAAACTAATGTTAGTAAATTTATAGCTATAAACCTCTTTTTGTATCGATGTATTATTTCAATGTTGTGCATGTCTACAGTTGATGCAAAAACTATATTTTGTTTTTTAATGTATATATCTGTATTATTGTTATGCCTAAACAAATAAATAATTTAATACATATACAAAATATATGTATATATAAAAGGTGTTTTAAGCAATAAATTCTCCTATATAATAATAAAGTCATCATTTATCATTATGGCAAATTCCTCCTAGGAGAGGCTTCTGTTCAGCAATAGACAGTTAAAAGATAATAGGAACAACTGCAGGTTGGTTTCAGCTTAAAATTTTCCTTAATAACTAATTGACAATACTGTGTTCCAGTGGTGCACGCATCGGTGGTACTGCGGGCTCTGCAATCTCAGCCGTTAGCAGCGCGCGCTATCCACGACGAGCTCGCCAGGCTGCTGGACGAGGATAATGGGCAAGAACTGCATCTGTCTGATCACATTATTGAAGACATAAAAGGTAATATCCTCATTATTATCAGCCCATAAATATCTTACTGCTGGCTATCAGTCTTGTCATAGGAGAAAAATAAATATGTAAACTAGCTATATCGCACAGCTTTGCTACCATTAATTAGAACATAAAGTATGCTATAATAATTGTCTGTGAATGGTCTTATCCTAAAAAGTTTGGAACAATATCTTAGACAGTTGAGATTCCGAGGCGGCTCCCTCCTGGGAAAGATGCAGAAAGCAGTGCTTTTAAATCTCCTTGGGGCCCTGAATCCCGGCCGACTGTATTTCTGTCGGGGGTTAGTTTGCCATCTCCTCTTCTTAAGAGGGGAGATGTGAATTATTATAAAAATTTAAAGAATAATAATAATAAATTATTATTATTATTAAATTATACGTTAATTATAATAAAATACCAATTAAAATAATTTTCATATAAATTCTTTGGTCATCAAGTAGGCATATCTGTCATCCCTGTCTCCCATATAACATACAATAATTTTATTCTAACCATTGAACAGTGAAAACGTGTTTCGTGGGAAGCCGCGAACGTGCCCAGCAATGGGCAGACGGTGAACAACCGAGCCCGGCACGCAGTGTTCAGTATCCGGTGGCAGGCAGGACTGCCATCACTGTATCAGGACGCACAAGGGAGTTAGCGGCCAAACCACTGTTTGCTAGGGACAACGAGCTAGCATCGTTGCCTGATATTGTCCTGCAGTGTATTATGCAGGTTGGTGTTCACTGGAATTGAACAGAAACTCAAATAAAATGAAAAGGATGTATTTCTTGATCTTACATTCATACATATCTGTCACGCCTGTCTCCCATTAGGGTAGGCAGAAACAGTGGAACGCCAAATGCTTCGATTCAAACAAACCTCTTTCGCTTCTTCCACATTCATCAATCTTGTCATACACGCTCGTCGGTTACGGGTACTTTTAATTTGGCCCTTCTTCAGCACGTCGCCTATTTGGTCGACATACGTCCGTCTAGGGCGGCCCCTACCGACATCTCCATTCATTCATTCTTGATCTTTTAATTTAAATTTCTAGTAGACAACATCATTGCGAAATTAGCAGTGATATAAATATCGTTTTAAAAGAACTTAGAAGTGTCTCTTTATCTTTTACATATTTAATTAAAAAAGACAGATATTTCTATATTAATTTAAAATTGTTTCACAAAAAAAAAACGAACTTCAATTATGGCATAACCAGGTATTTTGATTTTAGAACTAAAGTACTGATTTTGGTAAAATTTCTGTGGAACAAATCTGTAAGTTCTTTTACTTTAGTTCTTACAGTTCTTTTGTATCTAAATGTTATATCCATCCAATTTTCCAAATCACTTTATAACTGACAAAGTTATGAGGTAACAAACATAAAACAAAATTGGATTGGGTATCTTCCACTTAAAAAAATAAAGTCGATAGATTAAGTAATATTTTGTACCTTAATAATCATTGTTATCAATACTAATATTATAAAGAGGAAATATTTGATTGTTTGTTTGTAATGGATAATGAAACTCAGAACAACTTGATCTACTTTAAAAATTCTTTCGCCTATAAAAACATATATTATCAGAGAGTAACATACGCAATACATATTTTCCAATATTACATACATATCTGTCACGCTTGTCTCCCATTAGGGTAGGCAGAAACAATGGAACGCCAAATGCTTCGATTCAAACAAACCTCTTTCGCTTCTTCCACATTCATCAATCTTTTCATACGCGCTCGCCGGTTACGAGTACTTTTAATTTGGCCCTTCTTCAGCACGTCGCCTATTTGGTCGACATACGTCCGTCTAGGGCGGCCCCTATCGACATCTCCAGTCATTCTTGCTCGATAAATCTCTTTCGTAATTCTTCTTTCATCCATTTTCCAATATTCTGTGTACTTATGCGATTCCAAGCCAGATTGCTAGTTTATAATAAATAAGTTTCATAAATCGTAAAATAAATTGTAAATTTTGCCAGCATAAGTTCATAGTCTATGGGAGAGGGTTATGTTCAAGAATGGACAAATAATGGCTGAAATAATGAAGCTAATATGAGTACAATTAAAATACCTTATAACTTGCGAAACATTTAAAAAAGATATCTTGACACAGAATAACATTCTTTAGCAGTTGGTTAATAAAGAACAAAATTACTAAACGTATTATTTAAAATACAGTGCCCCATCGACGCCCGTCGTGCTCTGGCTGAGAACATCCTGGTCACCGGTGGTACGGCGGCCATGCCCGGACTGAAAGCGCGGCTCGCCCACGAACTCAGATATCTCGTCACACAGCCACCATATAGGTATATATACTTCATTATCCTATTATATCATAATGTGTGTGGGGGGGGGGGGGGGGGGGTGGTATTAGTAATGCAGACTACCAGATGGTAAGCAGTTACCATAGCCTATGAACTCTTGCAATACCAGAGGCATCACGCACGCGTTGCCGCCCTGAAAAAACCTCTTTACTCCTTTTTTTTTTTAAGACCATACAACACCATACTGTTATAACTTAAAAGTGTATTGATGTTAATTTTAATAATGTTATCAACCAGTTCCCGTTTGATGGTGCGCACATTCAAGTTCCACCGTGCGCCCGCGCATGACAACGCGTGTGCATGGGCAGGCGGCGCGCTAGGTGGCGCCGCTGACGCCGCAGGAACACGTGCAACGCCCCGTGACGTGTACGCACGCCGTCGTCGTCTGCGCGATTGGGTGTGTCTACTCGACAACACGCCGCCCGACCATCCACATCACGCACACCAACTATAGCTACTTCTTCACACATAACCACATATAGTACACACACAACCGCTATGACGTGTGGTCTCTTCATACTAAACGGTGCATGGCTGTCGCGTTATAGTATGATATAGATGGATAGGCCACTAAAATTATAGGAACAAAAGTATATATCTATTTAAGCAAACATTTAATCGTAAGATAATATAGTTATTGGATTTATTTCGATATCAAAAATCTAACAACACAGTTTTTCTATATAAAGAAAACTGCCTAAAAACAGTTTCTATAATGGAACAGATACTTAGAGATGTTTCTGTTTAATAATTATTATAATGTTTGTATTATAATTTTTGTATAATATTAGTGGCTGTATTCATTTATTTTGTTTCAAAATTCTGCACGCTATACATTCAATTAAGTCTTAAAAAGTATTTATATGTAAAATAAAGAATAAATTATTAACAGTTATAGTGGTTTTTATTACTATACTTAGAGAAATTACATTTAAAAGGATCCATAGTTTCATATTCACAATTATTTAAAAATAATATCAGAGAAACCGAAAGACGGGATTACTAGTTACGATGACCTTGACCTTGGGGAAAATATTTAGCACTCGAACCTAACTACTGAACACAATAAGAAAAGCGCTTTATAAGTTTTATACTAGTTATGTGTAAAATTTACGAAATAACCATAGTTAATATAATAAGATATTTTTAAGACTAATTTCACTTATAGAATTATCTAAGGGAAATTGAGTATTAAAAAAGTTTTTGTTGATTATTATTCAAAGATGCATAAGTACCTGCATCTACGTACTTAAAGGTTTTGTTCTACCTGTTCATAGATTGAGAATAATATCTTTTATTCACATATTCTGTTAGGCTGTCAGTCAATTCCGTCACATCAGTCTCTGTCAGTTTGTCATTATGTTCATGTCTTGTTCTGTAATCTATCATTATTGTTGAAAAAAGCAATAGAATTTTCCGAAAGATACTTACTTGGTCAAATCGCAATAAATTCGTGTTAAACAATAATTCAAAATGTCTGATGTGAAAATTGTAGCGGCTAGTATAGTGAACTTTTTGAAACAGCAGCTTGAAAACGACGCACTAAGCTTGGATTCAAGAGAGAGCGTAGAGGTTGGTGTGCAATGTATAGAGACCGCGTTTGAATTGGGACCAGAAGATACGAGTCGCAGTGTTGATTTGTTGCAACTGGTAAGACAACAGCGCGGGGGCAGCTCATCTGCTGACCGCGCTGAGGCCGAGCGACTCAAAAACGAAGGGAATGAGCTAATGAAAGCGGAGAAGCACCGGGAGGCTTTAGAGAAGTATTCACGTGCTATTGAACTTGACCCGCGCAACTCTGTTTTCTTTTGTAATCGTGCAGCTGCGCATTTCAAACTCGGTGAACATGAAGCGGCAGTCGCCGACTGCACAGCGGCGTTGGCATTGCAACCAGACTATGGGAAAGCACACGGCCGGCTGGGTCTTGCTCTTACCGCTCTAGACAGACATCGTGAGGCGCGAGCAGCGTTTGCACGCGCATCTCAACTCGAGCCGGACAATGAATCATACAAACAGAATCTACGTCATGCGGATGAGCACCTTGCACAACGCGGCGAGCGTGGCCCACTAGACCTCGGTGGGTTATTACAGAATCCGGCGCTATTGAATATGGCAACAGAAATGCTTGCAGATCCCAACATGCAGAATCTTATATCTGGATTAATGACTAATACGACAGCACCCACTGGTGGAGCTAATGCCGGAGGCATGAATGCTCTTTTGGAAGCCGGTCAAGCCCTAGCACAGCATATGCAGGCCGCCAACCCTGATTTGGTAGAACAGTTGCGGAGACAAGTCCGTCCTCCTGGTCCAGGAGGTAATCCACCACCATCGCAGTGAAGGCTTGATACTAACCATTATTCTACTCATATCTGGATTGGGAATTATAAATTGACTATATGTGACACTTATTTATGCCTAATTTCAAAAGTTCATTTATAATAAGTGGCACTTGAATTAAAGATTTTGAAATTCTCAATTAAGTAATGAGTATTATTTGTAAGTCATTATTCAACAGTTATTAGTCAACAGACATTTCAAGGTCTTGTTTTCTCAGCCACAATCCTATGTAACGTAGGGGACCTTACACTGCAAGGTCTATATGAAATTATATAATAATTATCACTCCTGCTTATTTTAATATATAATTCTTATTTCAAATATTATTACATGTACAGTTAACTACAGAAGTATGTATTTCCTTTACAACTGCTTCATAAAACTTATTATTTGAAATATAGCATAGAGCATATTTTTGTACCCAACTGTGGATGGAGTAACAATTGAATATTTAAAATAGTTATTTATGTCGTAAGAAATTCCTTGAATTTGATGCAAATATCTATTGAGGTATTTTTTATATTATACATTTCAATAAATGTTTATTTTAGTTGTGTAATGAATTTACATATGGGAAGGTTCAGACGCATTTATATAACATTTCTGAAGGTACCATAATGCAGCAATATCTTAATTACATGTCAGTTTTCAAAAACAAACTAATTTAATTCTCAAAACTTATTAGTTGGTTAGTATATTATATAATTATCAACTATGTTACAGTACATTTATACACACTGCAGTACAGATAATATCATTTTAATAAATATGTTTATTTAAACGATATATCTTAATGATAATTTAGTGTCTCTTGCTATCAATTATACGGCAAGTTGAACAACATGGACATCAAAATTGACTATGAAACATCTATTTCCTTCATTTTGCTTTATAAGAGTCAGTTATAGATTTATATGTTATTACTGATTCACTTTCAACCACTTCCTTAATGTCTTTTTATGAAATACTTAATTACATTTCAATTATGGTTGAAAATTTAGAAATTGCCTTTTATGGTACAAACTCTCTTAATGACAGTATGATCACTTTCATGAAAATCATTAGTTAGGCTAAATTTAAATAATATGGAGTAAAACAATGATAATGTGACACTGTGTTCAGGTTATTGTAAAACAAATATATATACCAAAATAGTGTTAAATTAGAGGGAAGCTTTAGGTTTTCTCTATTTAACTGGAGATATTTCTAGATAAGATTTGAATTATTGGTTTTGTTAATAAATTTATTTCGACAAATTATAATGTTTTTGTCTTGACTTCATGGATTTTATAACAATAAGAATTGTTGGCAAACTAACTAATCTTCTAAGAGGGGAAAAGTATTGTTAGTAATGCATCCTATCAATATACCCTATCAGGTCGACCTCCACATGGTTCCCCTGGAAACCATCGTGCTGAATTTCAGGTGTATTCATCACGATGGGCTAACTGACCTGCCTTTTCATTCTTACCTATCATACCTCACTGGTGCCCCGTCAGCGTATACCGTTAGCGCAGGCGGGGTTATCATTCCATATATATATATTCTTTATTGCACTAAAACATACATTAACAACAATAAGTTAATAACAATGTTAGCAAAGACGAACTTATCTCTAAAAGAGATTCCATTATCATCATCAAAAAAAAAAAACTAATCTTCTAATTTGAAACAGATTTAAATTGACGGTTTTATAACTATAGATCCATCTCTCATTATATATAGGGGGGAAAGAGATCGACAGTAATAGGAATTAACCCCATTGCTAACAATATAATACCCTATTAGGTGGAGCTCCACGCGATTCCCCCTGGAAACCATCGTGATTGATTTATTGTTCAATTCATCCCTATAGGTCAACTTACCTGCTTCATCCTCAATTTATACCGAATTCTATGGATGATGATTGAATGGAATAGTAGCACCGCCTAGTACAGGCGGTGCTACTATTCCATTAGAATTTCATTTAAATAACGTTAATACCTATTATAGTTTGTAGTGAGTTGAGGGGAAAGGGATTGTTAATAATGGAGACTGAGAATCCCATTGCTAGCAATATACCCAACCAGGTCGACCTCCTCGCGGTTCCCCCTGGAAACTAGTTGTCTTCCTTGTCTTGTCGTTTTTAGTAACATTTCAACCAAGAGTTGTTGATAACCAAGTTATATAATTAAACCTCTCATATCTGTGACTACTATGACTAAGGTGCATAAAAACGCTGTTGTGTGTGAATCATAATAGAATTTGCTTTGTACAACACGTCGGCGAGGGTGGAAAGGGATTGTTAGTAATGGAGACTAAGAATACCATTGCAAGCAATATACCCAACCAGGTCGACCTCCTCGCGGTTCCCCCTGGAAACTGTCATGGTTATTTCCTGATGAATTCATCATGATGGGCTAACTGGCCTGTTTTCATTCTCATCTATCACCCTTCACTGATGCCCCGCCAGCGTATCCCGTTAGCGCAGGCGAGGTTACCATACCATTTACACCCATAAAAAAAAACCCGTCGGCGAAAGGAATTTGTCAATAGTATCAGCCGTTAACTGTCCACTGCTGAAGATAGCCTCCCCCTTAAGGGGACTTAGTAATTGTCAATTATTGCTAATAATATACCCTATCCACGCCATATGGAAAAACTCCAAGTGTTTCAAAAAGTAAATAGACTTCAATTATAAACCTTATCTATTTTTCTTATGCAGTTATTTATAGAAACTTAATGAAAATATAAACAAACGAATAAATGATCCGACCATAAGACCTGTGATAAGACAGCCTGTTAATGTCCAATAGCAGTGAGTTTTTTTTTTTTTTAATGGATGATAATGAAATGGTGGCCCCGTCTGCGCTATTGGCATACGCTGGCGGGACACCAGTGAGGGATGATAGATGAGGGTGAAGCAGGTCAGTTAGCCCATCGTAACAGATTCAACAATAAACCAATCACGATGGTTTCCAGGGGGAACCGCGAGGAGGTCGACCTGATAGGGTTTATTACTAGCAATGGGGTTGCTAATCCCCATTACTAACAATCCCTTCCCCCCAATAGCAGTGAGTATGAAGTAAAAATATACTAATTGATTGAATGTTTCGATTTGTTATTAGATGATCAAATTATTTAGAGAGTTTCTGTCACAGTTTTACCAAAACTTGATTAGTTTTTCAATAAATTCTATTGAAACATACTACTCGTATAACGTGTTCACGCGAAATTATTCGCAAATATTTAAGTGCCTGCAAAAATTAATTTTTAATTCTTGAATATCTGAAGTCATAATTCGGGGGAAAAAGGATTGTTAGTAATGGAGACTGAGAATCCTATTGCTAGCAATATACCCAACCAGGTCGACCTCCTCGCGGTTCCCCCTGGAAACTATCATGGTTAATTCATGATGAATTCATCATGATGGGCTAACTGGCCTGTTTTCATTCTCATCTATCACCATTCACTGGTGCTCCGCCAGCGTATCCCGTTAGCACAGGCGGGGTTACCATACCATTTTCACCCATCAATAAAAAAGTCATAATTCGGTCTCTTATTACGATGAATGTAAAGATGGATATTTATAAATTATTTGTTTGATCTTATTCGTGATTAAATTATAATTTGAGAAAAATCTAAAGCGCATCATGCAGATTAGGTTGTACCCAGTAGGTAGGTATGACTTACCAACGATTCATTTCACAACGACCAATGCTGACTCACTTTATTGGATACCACGTCTCATGTTCGTTCACCGATATGAACTACATACCTAAAGACTCACAAACTAAAACTGAACTCGAATATATGACGTCGTAATGTTATATATTTTAAATAGTATTAATTTATAATTAGTTTTATTACTAGATAATGTAGTTTTATGGAGAAAACAATAAAGAGTAGATATTTATGTATGGCACTAACTAAATAAAATATAAAAAATGCTGTTTTAAAAAACTATGGAACCGACTCCCAGCAGAAGTATTTCTGAACAGATACGACATTGAAATCTTAAAAAAAAAGCATATTCTCTCCTAAAAGGTCTGCAACACGGCGTTGGTAATCGCTTACAATCAAGCAAGCTATATGTTCCTTTGTCCCTATGTTATAAAACAATAACATTAAAAATATATGTACCTATTCTATTCTATTCGTTAGGCTAAAAGATATTTTTGTATTGCATAATAAAATCCCGGGTTCAATTCTCGGTCAGACCGGAATTTAATTTAGGAAACAAACTATTCTGAATTGGCTCGAGATTGGAGTTCTGGGATGTGCTATCGGAGGTTCGTTGCCTAGTGTATAAGGACACAGACCAGGCAATTGGTGCGATTGTGTGGCATTTATTTATTACTATCTAAATCAGTGTCAGTGATCTGTTTGTAATTTATTATTTCTTATATATTTGTCATCTCTACAATGAAGCACCTATGTGATCTCTGTTTAAAGCGCTTAACATCTCAAACCTCGAGTGGAACTACATAATTATTTCTTACATTATTTATCTCTGCAGTGAAGCAATTACGTGTCATCTTAGAACTCAAATACTATACTGACTAACTTTAGTTGTTTAATTTTTTCACTTCAAAATCTGTTCCACTGTTGCTAGTGTTTCCAGAATTCGTTACTTATTTTTCATCTCTTATTCCATACTCAAGGTCTCCTGCAATCCATCTAGAATTATTGAAATTTGAAGTGTATTTATACTAAATAAAAAACATAGGATACCATCTTAACTATTTATTTTATTACACTATGTATAATTTATTATATCATCAATACATTTACATATTTTATGTACACACAGTAGCAAAATGTAAAAACACATCTCCCGTATTAATGTTACCAAATAGAGTAGGTACCATTATTAAAAAAAAAACCCATGTCTACAAATCCTGAACAGGGTCCAAAAATTCAATCCAAAATCGAACGCATATAAATGTCTGTATTTACATATATCTCATCACCCCACGTACAAAATGTTATTATTCGATTTATTGTTATTACAGCTTAAATTGCGAACTAACCGCAAGTGAAAAAAGTTGTACATAAAAAAGCTATAATATATATTAAATACAGTAAAGGCACTGATAATACAAATACATTTTTAGAAATATCGTACTAGAGCGTATTATTACATGTTAACAAAAATGCGTAATGGAAGTGATATTTATAGTTAAATATAACGATTAATATAAGTACATAAATGAAGACAGAGAAAGATAAATAAAGTTTTTTTTTTTAAGAAAAAAGCATCCTGTTAATAAATTTCAAACTCATTTGTCTATGCAGACTTTCTAATAGGAACAACTAATATTTAATAATATATTTTATATTAAAATAAAACATAAAATTTTAATGTGACACTTAAAACTTAAATATCATTAAACAAACCTCTATAATGGGAGCACCAAAACAACTTAAACTCACCAAATAAATTAAGTTTTATAAAGCTAAACATTGCAATAAGCATATTTTTCATAATAAGTAACCTAAAATTATACTACTGGATAGATAATTAAATAAATTTTGTTTTTTTTTCGCGACATTTAGGCGTGATTAATATGAATAAATACATGTATAATTGTAAAAAAGTGGCACTTGAAGTGACCGACAGAAGCGAAACTTCTTCTATGTATATATATAAATAAAACATACATTAATTTCTGTTGCAACTCGAGTAACTTCGCAGTATTGCAACGTGTAACTCGACACACATTTTGTTTATGCAAACTAATATATTTTTTTATAAACATCTCTTATGACAATTGTACTAAATCTCCATAAAGAAGTTTCACTTCAATAATTTGGATAGCTTATAATTTTTTTCATATTAATTTACTTATTACCGAGCCCAGAACGCAACAAGCGTGGCAACGACTATTGCATAAATAGATGATTTAAAGGTGCATTTAGACTACGTGCGTGGCTCGCGAATAAAGTTTGTGTACCTAAAAAATATTAAAATCACTGGACATATTTCACAGCGTCATCTGTTAACTAAACAGATCTTGTACTATGGCTATTAGACAGTTGATACACTTTTTTTTTATAAATAATTTAAAAAGACGTGATCATGAATAGAAATGTTTGTAAATTCGCGATCATGGGAAAGCGAGGCAGTAGGTATTAGTTATAACATGCCAAAGCTCATCAAGACTCTTGGCACGTATATCATAAATTTGGGAAGGGAAAGAATAACGTATCCTCCACTCGTTCAGTCTAAATCCACCTTAATATTGCACAATTTTCACTGACTACCAGCTGTAAATGCTTTGTAATCTAATAAAAGGCCTCTGAGGATATTTATTTAACGTGGCGAATCAATTTATGGCAATTATATGTCTTATATATCACGGTATTGGACAAAACTCGTCTGCATAAATACCTCTGTCCCACTTATATTTTTGGTTTTGTTTGCGTGTACATAATTGGGTATCAGTTTTATTTTTCAGTGATAGCAACACGTAAGGGATACTATAGGCGTCACAGTGTATACTATAATGTCCATGGTCTTGTTCATGTTTATAGGTGACGGTTAAGACTTTATCAGATAAACCGGCAAATAGATTGCTATTTAATATGATATGTAAGAAAAATAAAGTTAAATTATAACAGTAATTTTGATTTTAAATTAATGGTGTCTTTACACAAATAAAATTAAAAAAAAACAAGTATTACTATGCCTTTCCATGTGGTGATTTGTATTAATATACTTAATTAAAACATTTTGTCTCGGATACATCTTAAGAATATTGTTGTCACATAATTATCTGTCATCCATAGACAACGATGCCCTCCGCCACACAAAATTAATATTTATGAGACATTAAAACGCAATTTAGCATTCACAGCCAGTGTAACATTTAAAACAATCTTTCTCCATAATAGAAATTAGCTTTCTAAATTTAAAAGTAAACGATCGTAGACAATAGAGAGTATGTAGGTAATAAATAAATACAAAAAAAAACTATTCGAAAAAAATAACGGTACAAACTCAAAACTATTTCTTGCGTACTGATGAGGCCCGTATTAATAAATCTGAATAGCGTATAGACTTATGTCGAATACAAGTGAGCAAATTTATTCATTTTAAGCTTTTCTGTGTTGATCTAACTATATGGCATAATAGGAAGAAACCTTTGCTCAGTAATGGAGTCTCACAATAATAAAAAAAAATTATCAGTTTCCCGCCATATTGTTACAGATCTCAAGTTACGAACGAACCGCACTCTGGATAGACGACAGTAGGTACTAGACGATCCAAACCATCACTGAGTTTTATTTATGCGTTTTTAACTTTCAAGTAATATTTATTAATCAACATAACATCTTCAATGCTCGCTCAAGACAGCTCACAACATAAAATTGATTTATTAATACGGATCTGTGACACTTCTCGTTCATCGGGGCGATTTCGTTGCATATATTGTACAACCCGAGTTGTTATAACATCAACAATGTTAATTCTCATGGTTGTATAATACTCGTTTTTCGAATGTGAATTACTTCCTAAATTTTCCCTGAGGTGACATACAAGCATGCGGCCCGCCTGATGACAATTATTCGTGTTATGGACGCCAGCAAATCAATGGAGTGTCATCGTCCTCCCAGAAGATATGGACTTATGAACAAAAAAGTAACTGAATATAGAATTGGGCTAATTAAATATATTGCCATTTTTTTCTTCAACTATAGAACAACATATAACATTTATGGTAATGCATTTATCGTGTTACTAACAGTGCATATTGTGAATTTAGTGATCTTATAAAAAAAATTACGCATAGTTTCGTATTATAAATTCACCACGTTACATAACGCCTTTACAATATTTTAAATCGAGCATAAGTGTGTTGAGGAAACCAAATACAATAAAAAAATTATTTAATTTCGATGATTTTTCTAGTCTAATTTTTTTTTTTAAATATTCAATAATAGAAAATATAAATTTAGAGCTTCTATTAGTTATACAATAAATACCTCGTTTGAACCCCCTTTATCAACCATTTATAACAAATTACATTTCATCACAATCAAATGTTTATACAGAGTCCACCAGAGTTCATCTAGTTGGCAATCTTAAGAGAGAAATAAGAATCACATAGTGCATGGTAATATGACCTTGCAATCTTAATCGCATAATGCATAATGCAAATTGCAAATCGCATACGCAAGCATATAAGACGTTGACAACAGACATAATATTGCATGTTATTTACATTATAATTAACTTTCAATATACAATATTTCATATTATTTTTTAATTTATATTTTAAACACTGACTATATGAAACTCGCCTGGACTCTGTACCAGTATTGCCAACTACAGAATATCCCAAATTAGGCTGAATTATTATCTATAGAATAATACCATTATAGGATAAATTTACTTGTACCAAACTCATAAGAGATCAAGGTTTTTTTAGTTAAAACTTTTCACTTGTTTCGATGGAACTTCATTCAGAGCTAGATTTGGAGCTAGGAGCTAAATGAAAATATAAGTAACTAAATGTGAAACATTAGTTAAATCTTATCACGAAAGTGCTAAATTGGCAACACTGCTTCTTACGTTCTATTCCTTTCTATTTTTGTTCTGAGAATTACGCTTGACTTTTGTATTATGCCCACATTAAAATATTATCATCAGTCAACGGAACTTTGCTCCTTTGTAATTGCATTATATTTATTTATACTCGACCAGCCTCGGAGCGGCATATTAGCGATGTATAGCCATAACTTATCTATCTCAATATAAAATTAATTTTATTAGGTATTTAGAACAATTCAAACATTCTCAATTAAAAAAAAAACAACACGACTTTTTTATCAAATACAAAAAAAAAAAAGAAAAATGTTATCATCGAAATCAGTAACGATCAGTTTTTAAGCAACCGGTTATATAAGGTCATAGACGTCTACAGTACGACCTAGCAAGCTCTTACTTTTTTTAAAAGTGATTATATAAGTTTGCTCCACAACAATAAATTATTTGATACACTTCGAATTTTAAAACATCATGCAATGATTATGAAATACTAAAAACGTGTCAGTCATACATTACTTCTGCTGTTTCCACACTTTTAATAAATAAAGCAATTAATCGCTGACAACTTATAATGGTAAATGCGCATGATTTTTTTTTTTACAAGGGCTTAGTACAAAGAATTTCTCTCGACCCACTTTTACTAAGTATTTGTGGATATGCTGTATATATAAACAGCTAAAAAAAAACTTATACTGAGCCTGTCCAAATGTTACATGAGACGCAAGACGCTATGAAATGAACGACAGCACATTTACAATCTACAATGTCTTTCCTTGGAATATCTGAAATTAGACAACTTGCGTATAAAGATGTTTAAGCTTGTATAACAGTCGTATAGTGGTGTTATGCCGCTCTGATGGTGTTTAAACTTCAATTACGCTTTGATGGAGGTACGAGATGGGGTGGTAACTCCGAAGGTAAGTCATGCCCATCGGTCTTCACCCTGATGAGGTGCATCGCCAGCGCAAACTCCTCTTCGTCCAGGAAACCATCGCTATCAATGTCAGAAAGCTTCCAAATCTTACCGAGTACGGAATTGGGTAGCTTCGATTTCACCATCTCCGTCTTGGCCGCTGTAGAAAAACAACATTTAAATGAAATTCAATTTTAGCTCATTGGAATAGAATGCAAAGTTGATTGCAAAAAGTCAGCGCTAATTACTTATGTTTGTCTCAAATTAGACAAAAAGAAATGACAAATTATCTCACATTATCTGTGAAATTGCAAAATGAGAAATACAAAGGAAAAATAAATAGCATACCACAGTAAAGTCTTAATAGAAATCAGATGAGTCACACTACATATTCAAATACCCTCATGCATGATTCAATTCACATTGATAATTATGAAACATTTTATCGTCCATTTATTTGTTTGCAACTGATGTTATTTTTAAATTAGATAATTTAAAATTTACTTTGGCAACCACGCGCTAATGTTTAGTATATAAAAGGAAATAAAGTTTAAGCAATTAAAAAAAAGGCCTATAGAATATTGTGAAGAACAGAACATTTAACTCAATGCCTGGCAATTTTCCCTTCCGAGCAAAAATATTTGATGCCCTTTCCAACAATCAACTTTGCCACCCTCGACATATTATGCCTGCCTTTCTCTCTCAGATTTAATTCACACCCATATGGATTATGGACTTAAAAATCAGACCAATCTGAAACCCGTCATTTTCAATATAATTCCTCATATGCATGGTTACATACTTAAAACCGTCTGCTTTCTAAAACGTCTTCGTTTATTTGATCCTGTATTACTAAATATGAATAACACTGATACTAAATTAAGTCGGGATACTAAACCGAACGAAGAATCTGGTTTGCAACACGATACTAACAAGTTAATTATAAAAGTAGACATCGAGTACAAACTAGCAATTTGCACTCGCTACATACAATATGACCTACATTGAAATAAGTTGACTGTCTCCACAAGACCACGACATAGAAAATTCTCACACTGAACGGAGCAATTGTGAAGATATGAATGGAGACATCCATTCACAGAATGTTGAGTAATAACATAATTACACTTGAGTACATTATAGGACTAATCTTGTTTGCCTAGTATAACTTTACACATTACACGTTCAAATGATTAGATATTACAATCTTTGATAGTAGTTTGTCGCTAAGCGACAATATTACGTGACTATCTTATTTAAAAAATAGATGATGTTTAACATTTCTTAAATATAATAAGATCTAACTACGAAAACCATGGTTCCAACTTATTGAGCAATTAAAAAAAAAGAGATTCTACATCGGTTAAAGCTTAAAACAATCCAAACTATAAGTAAATACCTCCAATAAAAACCCAACACAAAATGTTACTCATTGACATATAATTTTACGCTGTTGCATAATATTCCTCATTAGTGTTAAGTGTTGAATTTAAATGTATTATATATTTTAGAATAAACATTACATTTTTACGACGGAACAATTCAAAAAAGGTGTGTATTCGAACTGTTTCTTCTTCGGGACCAAATGCAACAACTCTCGCTTTATCTAACCACGTTTTCGGCAATTTCTCGATGCTCAGCTCAATGTATGATTTGCCCGTTGTGATGTATGCAATAGAAATGAACATCATATTGAGAACAAACAAAAGCAAAAGCATTGTCAAGACTAACTGCACTATAAATTCAATGCCATAATGAACCGAGACTAAAAAATGTGTTACATATCCTAGAGCAGATTTGCATAATGGAACAATATCGCTTTTATCAGAAACATCGTTCGTTTTATTACAGTTTCTAGATTTTGGTCCACTGTCATCCCCATTATCAATATCTACATCTCCTTCAGTTAAAGATTCATTTAAACTATGAATAGATACCGCCGACGACATCCGACTACCGCCTACTTGATCGTGCTCGTTAAACAAAAACTCAGTTATCATATGTGAATTCTGCGTTGCGACTGTTAATGCATCTGTTATTTTATTAAAATCATCTTCTTCCTCTTTATGTTCATCCATTAATTTAATACAGAGTTCAGTAAGGCGTGAACAATTTTGTGTGGAAGAGAGCAACGCTGCAAGAGCCCTATCTACAATAACTATCTCTCGATAGCGTGGTGTGTTTAGCATTTGCTTTAAGGCACGTATATCTGATCTAGTAAGATTATAAATACCAGCTCCGGTGATTTTTCCATCGATAGGGTTGAGGGTCCTGAATATTTCGTCGTATTTCGGCTTCTCTTTACTGCATATCCACTCAGGGTCGCCGTGCCCAGCGTCAACACCCTCGCCTCTGCCATAACCGAAAGGTGAGACTTGATCTTCTACGCCTTCGAATGCACCACCTGTAATTAAATCATTTATCTTACTTAATTTTGTTATACGATATTATGTGAAAGTATGTAGTAATAATATAAATGTGGGGTTTGTAAAATGTTTGGATGTTAATGATCTGGATGTTTGTTACATAAACAAGTTTAAACATCCTGTGGTTTTACGTAAAATGACTGGATTCGTTATGTGTAACAATTTTCACAATATAATAAGCTAAATATGTATCAACATATAGTGTATAAAAAAGCTAAAAAAATCACTTTTTAAAGAGATTATTTTTTTAAAGAGATTATAATAATAAATAAATGAATAAAAAAAATCTGTATAAAATTAATTGTGATGGAACATTATTAGCTAGTTAATAATAAACACCTTATGGGCATAATTTGCATTTGCATACATTTTGAATCATTACTCAGAGGAAATATGAAGTTCTAACTACGTTAGTTAATTAGCTTAATAAAAACCAAATATCATAGAAATGAGTTCAAAGTCAGGCATTATAAGTGTTGCATGTAGATCTTAACAAGTTGAAAGTTTTGTTTTGTATAAATAATAAAATACAACAGGCGAACGTGGTCGAAAATGCAAACAACGTTACATTTAAATAGTAAAGCGTACGGTTCTGATTTTAAAATAAGCGAATAACATTGTTTCGCTGTAAAGAGAGGAAGTACACGAGTTATGTGATAGCGATAGCAGTACTTAGTTGTAAATTATAATCAGCATTTTAAATAATATTATATACCTTATATTTATGTTCATACAAGTAAAAATACAGAGTTTATTTATAAATTGGAATTGCCAGTTTTCTGTCATATTGCACTCTCTATTCTGTAACCTATATGGCAGAGCCGAAACTGATTAGCTACTCGACACATTTTGCAAAAGTACATTGGCGAGCAGAAAGGGATTATTAGTAATAGGGTTTTAAAGTACCACATATATCCTATCAGGTCGACTTTCACGCTTGGTTTATAGGTTTATTAATCTGTAATCCAACTAACCTATTTCATCCTCACCTATCATCTCTCAGTGGTGCCCCGCCAGCGTATACCGATAACGTGGACGGGGATACCATTCCATTTTCACCCATAAAAAAATATATTGACACTTTCAAAGTTGGTAAAGATGTTTGTGTTACTCATTTCGCATAAATCGCTTACCGGATTTGATAATTCGGTACACGAAGTAGTTATATCCTGTATATATGTATATATATATATATATATATATATATATATATATATATATATATATATATATATATATATATATATATACAGATTCACGCGGGTCGAACCGCGGGTCGGAACAGCTAGTAAAGAATATTTAATCAACAGTTAATCAACAATTTGTTTACAAGACCTAATCGACTCACATAGCTGCAGTGTGCCGAATGATTCACGGTCGGGTCGAACAATCATCGACTAGAACATATCTCATCAATGCTATTTCGCTTATAAGTTTCCGATGATACAAAACGATATCAAGTACTTATAGCATGTTTGGTTTGCAATCTTAGAACGTTTACAGTATCATAGCATGTCAGTCATTTATTTTCCATTGCTCAACATAGGCCTCCCTCTTTTGGGGGGTTTTTCTAGTAGTTGCCATGCTTAGCAAGCGGAATGACAATCGCAATTAGGCTTTGGTGGTGTTTTAAGGACAGTGCATCTCTCAACAATTAATCTCCTCTTATGGCACTCACGGGAAAGGGAGGAACTGGGATCACGTTTCCGTGAGAGCATTTAGTGAATGAATAAAAAAACAATAAAAGCCGAGATATTTCGTAGATACCCTACAACATTATTGGTGTCATACAGACATACAGCTGAATGGCTCAATTTTAGTCATTCTCATTTTTCTTTTGTTTCTTTTTTTTTGTATGCACTTAATTATTGTTGTTACTGTTAAATATTTAGTTTCAGCAGTTGACTGGTTGAATCCAGTTGGCACTGAATAAATATATTTTTTTTTATTTTTTTTCAACAGCATTTTTTTTCAGTAACGATAACGATTCTTTAGATTGATTCATTTGTCCCTTGTCTAGTGGAACAGCTCACGATAGCGGGTCGACTGATCCAACCGGGGGCCAGTTGGGTCAATCGTTACGTGTTAATTAATAAACGACTTGACAGATTCGGCTGCTTAAGATTTTTTCGAAGCAGTTTATGAAGCGAAGCGACGGCCATGGGAGGAAAGGATTGTTACTAATGGAATCTAACAGGTAGCGCGATGTTTTCCAAGGAACCTGAAGAAATCGCTTTTAATAATAAAATCATGATTTTTCATTGTACTTTTTGTTATATTTTTAATAAGTTTACTACTATAATTTTTTTTTGGAACAAGCTGCACTCCTATGGGAGGCAAAAAAAAAATGGCCTCAATACTAGCAATATACTCTTATTAAGTCTATCTCCACGTGGTAACACCCGGAAAGTATCATAGTTAGTCCCTGGTGAATTAGTCACGAAGGCAGAACTAAACTGACTTTTTTTTAAATAAATAATAAATTTATTGCCATTCTTTACAAACATACAGAACTATTCTCACCTATCATCATCTCTTACTCGTGCTCTGTCTGCCAGCGAATACCGAAAGCGTATACGGGTTTGCCATTCTATATATCCCATTAGATCGACTGTCCATTTATTTGCTATTTGCATTATAATAGAAAAGGGAAGTACACAGCATTTTAACATATCAAACTGTACTGGAATGTAGAACAAAGAGGTGACAAAACTTACTCTCACAAATAATAACACAAAAAAAAATATAAAAAAAAACAACAAGAACATTAATTAAAATACGATAACAATATTTTAATAATCTTATCTGTATATAACAAGCAGGTTATATCTCCACAAGGTCGTAATTTCATAGGTACATGGGTCACAATAAGGTCACGATCACTATAAAAAAGTATTCAGCACATTTTTTTTGTTACGATCGAACGCGTTTGTTTTGTTTGACTTTTTACTGATTAAAAATGATAATAATGGCGAGATGTTTTCAAGGGTACGGCTTAATTGTATCATCGATGTAGGTCACACAAAACGCCGGTAAACAATACGCGGATACGGTTCTGTTCACGGTTTCATTAGCGTATATTTTTTTATTAACTAATCGACCGTTTCGTTACGCAGTCTAATCGTATTATGTGTGATGTGGTGAATACAGTTATCTATAATCGATATACATACAGTAACGCCCTGTCTGACCTGTCAACGCAGTGTATATAGGCAACTACTTTTAGAAAGTAGCAAGTATATATATATATATATATATATATATATATATATATATATATATATATATATATATATATATATATATATGTATATATGTGCGGTTCGCTCATATCGTTGTTGAATCAACGAATCAATTCCCTCTATCTAGATAAGTGGTAAATGAACCTATCGATACTAATATGTAAATATAAATCTTTGTTACAGCTTGGCGCTTTAACAGTTTAACCATACACACACACACACACACACACACACACATATATATATATATATATATATATATATATTATGTAGTAAGTATATATACATATATACTGCCTATTCAATGGTACACATCCACTTATTATAGGGAGAAAAGGATTGTCCAGTAATGGGGTCTAAAAGCTCCATTACTAGCAATATAGAGTATATTGATTTATTAAGCAAAATTATCACTGAGCTGTAGCCTATTTGGGTCACTGCAACACACATGGCGAAAACATATTTTCGTATTTTATCTTTTTTTTTTTTTATATTAAAAAAAAAGTGTAAATAATTTATTTGTATGAACTCATTTATCAATTTACGTGTGTCATAAATGCTTCAAATAAAGTGTTTATCTATGTATCTATCTATCTTCATTGCTAACAATATGTCCTGTCAGGTCGACCTGCCCGCGGTTCTCTCTGGAAACCATTGTGATTAATTGTTGTCGATTAAGTAATAGATAGCTAAAATTGGAAAGAAGTCCAATCATTCTTATTAGATTCCTTAGTAGTAATTCAGCGAAATGTTCGTAAGTTCGTTACACTAAGAATAATAAGTATACTAAAAATATCTTAATTTAATTGTTAACATTATACAAAAGTAGCGCAAAGTAAAATGAGAAAGTATAACAACAATTTTAACAGAATAACTTAAAATTATGTTCCACAAACAACAAACGATTTCAATTGCGGCAAAAGCAGTTTTAGAGGGAGACTTTGTACAAAAGTCGATTGCTTGAGTACCTCTGTCCCATGCGTGTTTCTACCGTGAAGCAGTTGTGTTTGCATGGCTGTGTTTCGGTTTGAAGGGTGGGATATGGCGTGAATTTACAGGGTACAGAGGAATAACACCTGAGTCCTCAGGAATGGCAACGCATGGGGGGTATCATGGGCGTAACAGTATACTCTGTTATGTCCATAGTACTGCTCATGTCTATAGGCGACGGTTACCACTTTCCATCAGGTGGGTCTTCAGCTTGTTTGCCATTCTAAGTTGTATAAAAAAAAAGTTATTTTGATCTAAAAACTAAAATTCTGAACCAATTTTGAAAAAAAAAAAACTTCTATGAGATCGATCTGTAAGTATATCCTATTAGACAAAAAAAAAGAATTTTCCAAATCGATTTACGTGTATAAATCGTGTATTTCACAATTAAGAGCAACAAACGTGAAGACTAATACCTATGTATCAATCAATATGCAAATTGTAATAGTAAAATGGATCGAGAAATGCATCCTGTGATTTGCAAACTAAAAATGGAGCAATCGATGCGCGCGCATGCTCGCTAGTTGCCGTTTCGTCTGGTCAAGAGTCGACAAAAATAGTTCAACCCCTAGACTATTTGTCTAACTAATGAATTAAATTTAAACCATCTTTACTCAAATAGACTTGTTTACAAACACTAAATCGTAATTTTTTTTATGAATGCAGGGTTCAAAAAGTTATCTGTTGAGAAGAGCCCGCGAGAGGCTCAACAATTACTCTTTTAAATCTCTGTTAACATTATGTAT